CACTGCTTCAAGCGAACGTGGACTCAATCTCACCGAGATATATCTTCCATAAGCCATATAAAGTTATAATAAGAACAAATAGAAGAGTTGGAAGTGGCAGGTACGATTAATATCTACACCGACGGTTCTAAAATAAAACAAGGCTCAGAATGTGGAATATACTCCAGATTCTTAAACCTAAACATAAAATGGGCTGTAATAGTGCCAGTGTAGTTCAAACAGAGCTAACCAGGATTCTCATAGCAGCAAAAGAAATGACCAGAAACAATATCACTGGAAGGAACATGCTCATCTATACAGATAGCAGACAAGCACTACTCACCCTGATCAGGGTTTGTACTAGAATGTCACGAAGCTTTGGCCGAAATATCCATCAACAATGCGGTCACCTTAATATGGATCAAAGGTCACGCCACATCGAAAGGTAACCGTCTTCACTAGCTAAGAAAGCAGCCAACCAAATACTTTTTGGACCTAGCCCTTCTATTGGCCTGACAAAATCGGTAGTGACAGACCTAATCAAAGAACATTCCCTTGTGAAATTCAAGGAAAGATGGGATGAAACAAGATACTGCAGAGTTGCCAGAGAGTTCTTAAGTTATCCTGACAACACTGAAGCAAACAAATACTTGACTATGACTAGACATAATCTGCGCCTAGTCACAGGCATTCTGACTGGTCATTGCCAAATACGAAAACATCTCCATATCATGGGGCTGTCAGAATCCACTCTCTGCAAAGGGTGCGAACAAGAAGACGAGACCATCGAGCATATCCTTTACGATTGCTCGACGCTCTCATTTATTAGAAGATTTGTGATCGGCGAGTATCGGCTAACACCGGCCGATATAAGAGAAGCACCTCTTGGCAACGTTGTCAACTACATTAAATATGTAGGCTGGCTCACGAGCTAGGAGCTGCCTCTCAGGAGGATGCACAATGGGCCTAATGAGGCCTAAGTGCCGTGGGGGTAACCCACTCTCCACACGTTACAGATACAGATACCCTATTCAAAAATTGTATGCTTCTAATTTTTTTTACAAAATTTAAGGTGTTCTAGCTTCGAACGGTTTTGTAAATTTTTTTTCAATAACAACCACACCACATTTTTAGGCAATTTTTAGGCTCTTAAATATTTATAAAACTTTCTTAAAAAATTGTTAATTTAAAAAAATATAAGATGCTGAAACAAAGTCAGCGGAGAACCTCGGTTTTTTTAAAGTTTTTTTTTTAAACAACCACACCATATATTTAAGCTATTTTTAGACTCTTGAATTATTATAAAACTTTTAAAAAAAATTGCTATTTTTAAATAATACAAGGTGCTGCTTTGCTGAAACAAAGTCAGAAGGGCAACTAGGCTTTTTAAAGTTTTTTTTTTTTTTAAAAACAAACAACACCATATTTTTAGGCTCTTAAAATATTATAAAACTATTCGAAAAAATTTGCTATTTTTAAAAAATGTAGAATGAATGAGCCGGCAGAACACCTCGTTTTTTAAAGATTTTTTCCAAAAACAACTAACTATGCAACATTTTTAGGCTCTTGAAATATAAAATATAAAATTTACCATTTTTTTCTAAAAACAATAATACCACCTTTTAAGGAGATTTTTAGGCTTTTAAAATATTCCGAAAAAAGGATATATTTTTAGAAAATTAATAGCAGAGCATCTTATTTCGAGATATTTTATAAAATTTTATGAGCCTAAAATTGCTATAAATATGGCGTAGTTTTTAAAAAAAGCAATATTTACAAAAAATATATACTCTTTCAAAAGCCTAAAAATAGCCTTAAACAATGGTAACATAAGGTTGTTTTTAGAAGAAAAAAAACTAAAAAATTCGAGGTGCCTTGCTGACTTCGTTCAAAGCTAGCAAATCACTCCATATTTTTTAAAAAGAGCCTAAAAGTATAATGTGGTTACTTTTAGAAAAAAAGAAACCTAAAAAAGCAGAGCACCATAATTTTTGTAAAAACGAGGAACATACCTTTTTTGAATGGGGTAAAAAATAGCCTTAAAATAGCCTAAAAATATTGTGCCGCTGCGGGCTGAGCTCGATTAAATGGACTGTATAGCAAACGATTGTGAAAACAATGTACTTTATTATATTATCCAAAACATGACGTGACATTAGTAAAAACTTATTGACAATCAACAATAACAAAAGAGAACATAAAACTAAGGCTTATTTATACACATGGGTGGCAAAACCTTTATTTAACATAATATGGCATGGGTTATAACTTAAAATTCCCTTTGTTGCCTTCTTTGCCATCATTTTACAGATTTATTAACATCCCTTAAGTGTCACTTTTTTGGCCACATTTACTTTACGGCCGCTTTTTATCAACACAGGTTTATCATACTTATCGTTAGTAATTTTTTACAAATTTTATTAGTTAACGATGGATTTTTATTTGATCTATAAAAATTTAAAACATTTCTCGCATTTAAGTCTCTTTTCAAAAACAAGAATGTAAAAAAAAATATTGGCTCTACTTAATGAGACAGTTGCCTAAAAAATGTTGTGTACACCTCGGCCGTTTGATCTGTTTTAGCCGAATCAGAAATTTGCGGCTGAGGCCTCAGCCGAGTCCAAGTAACTTTAAAAAATATAAACTTGTCAGCTTTGGTATACAAATAACTATTTTAATTAATAATTCAAAAGTCTTTTCGCCAATTTTGAAGAAACTTTGTTAGCAGTAATAAATTCCTTTTTTTAATGAAATTAGATTACGATTTTTTTAAAAACCTTTGATAACCCTTTATATGGGAAACGAAGCAAGTTGGACACACGTTTATATGAACCTTTTTTTCATAAAAATATGACAAGGAATCTTCACCTGAAATTAATGACACCACTTAAGGTACTTACCATAACTTAACTTAAATCAATTGAAACCCCCCACCCATTTTATTTAGTTGATGTTAGCCCCTGACCACTTTTTTGCATTAGTAGAATTGGACTAATTAAATATATTTAGATACCTACCTTAGATTTGCAGATTGATTCACAAACAACAAAACTGTTTTTAAAGTAGGCTCTGACTGACAAAGATATAAGCGATATAAGCGATATAAGCAATGTGATAACTACGAGCAGCATTGAATTAAATGCAAACTGACATGTGAGGATAGATTTCTTAACAGGGTGACTTCAGGGGGCCATGGCCCCCCGAGATTAAAATGTTTACTAAATTGATGAGTTTTTTTATTTAGGGTGATCATATGTACAGCGTTCTGTGGTGGGTCTCAGGGGACCATACTCCCCGAAGGTTAAAATTGTTACAATCCATGACTTGGAATTTTTAAAGTCTGCAAAAATGCTGGTGAGCTAAAAAAATAGTTTGTATGTGCGCCTTACGTTTATTTTTGGGGTTGCCGAGCAAAACAAAATATTCGTCGTTGGTTGAGGACCTAACAAAAAAACAGCATGGCCCTCACCGAAAATTCAGCCAAAAGCAGCCCCTTTGTCCCTTGCCATTAGCCGTGATCACTCCTGTAAGCTACCGCACCCAGGTACCTTAATAATGTATTTATTCCATTTAATAAATATAATATTGCATTCTTATTAAATTCCAAATACTTCATTTAACGAAAAATCTCCCAGATAATTAAATCTTATTTACGACACCTACTAAATAATATCTATAATCACGTCCGTAAAATATCCAAATTTCGTGCACGTGTCTGGGAACATAAACCATAAAACATATTTCTTTTCACGAAGTAATCATCATTAAAACACTTAACTCGCTTATCTTTCTAGTTTCAACGTTAAGACCGATTTCGACAATATTTCGATATACAAAGCTCTCAAGGCACATAATAAATAAGCCATCCCCTTTTGCACCCACATTCGTATTTCTCTGGAAACTAAGACATACAGAGATGTCACAAAAGCCATTAACTTTAGTATAAGAAGTCAGACCCAAATGAGCTCGTATTCATTCATTTTTTATTATTTGATGTGCAAGCATTCATTTATTATTTGTATCCAGTTATATTTCAAGTTCATTCTAAACAACGTCTATCCTACAATATCTCCTATTCCCGAAAGCTGTCAACGTCCCACGCCTTATTTCCGACGCTTGCCGTCCCTAAATATTTCCTTCATAATATCCTTGTCGACACCCTTCGTCACGTCCCGCACCACCTACATAATTCTACCGTATATCTGTCCCAATGCAGTACCTCATTAAATACCTTCCTTTCCATCACGACGCTAGGCGCCTCTACTCAAGGCGACGCTCAACGCTGCGACACTCCTAGATCGACGCCGTTACAACGCTAGATGAAATTAGTACATAATCTAATATCTGTATTTTCAATGGTGAGTCAAGAGATTTATGTAACTTTCTTTGAGATACCACCGGGGTTTCGTTTAAACGAGAGCTTGACATTTGCTACAAAATATTATCAATTTAACCAATGGCTTCAGGTCATACACCCCGAAAGATAGTTAGGATAGATATCTGTTTCGATGGGTGAATTTTTAAGTATTTCAATAGAAATTATAAAAATCAATATTAAGAAATATACAGGGTTGTATTAAATAATTTAAATAGAAATTATAATAATGAATATTAAAAAATATACAGGGTTGTATTAAGTTAATTCAATAGAAATTATAAAAATTGATATTTTAGAAATATACAGGGATGTGCTATCTTGGATAAATTGTACAAACCAAGATGGTAAAGTTTAATAGTAAGTTAACCAACTGGTGAATACACTGTTCGTTAGCTCAAGGGGGGACACCTATATGCTAAGCAACCCGTTCTACTAGATTTGAAACAAAGTATATGTAAATCAACAACTATGTTACTATATTACTAAATAACGAATAAAATAGAGGCGAAAAGTAGTTTTTCGTTTATATCAATTACCAAAAACAAAAAAATATTAATTCCCAACTATAAATATCTACGTACCATTAAAGTTATGGTACATACAATAAAAACAATTCAAAATTTTAATTAATTAAAAAACTTACGATTTGTGTTTTGAGATCCTTGGCACAGAAGGGCGTGAGATATGGATGGATGCTCAAATATCTCTTGGGTACCATTTTCAAGCGTCTATAATCCAAATGATCTAAAATGGCAGCCGGTGCATGGACTGGCGAACCACCGGATTCTTGTAAAACCACCATCGTGTCCACAAAATTACACAAAATTTAACACACTCACTAATATAAAAAAAAACACCTAGTTAATTGCACAGTCCGCGTATATTAATAAATAAGCGAAAATAAATAATTCCATAAATATTGGGATATGTTTGTAATAATAACACAGTTTATATATATTAAGTAAAGCTCCTGGTTTGATTAAGTTTGGTCCTTAGGAATTGTACTGTTAAGTAATTATTTAGGTTATCACAAATGTTCATATATATTTTTATCACACGTAAACTCTATCTTTGGTTCTATAAGTACAAATGTTTCTCTAATTTTTTAAATCTTTTATTTTTATTTATTCTGACGGAAAGGCACTGTCGGAAATGCACTGGTTTTAATAAATAAAAATCTAAATCCTTTTTCCTTTTTCGCTATCACAGACTTGGATTTCGGCAGCTTCTACCAACATACTAAAATCAAAATATATATCCGTTACAATCCGTTTTATATGGGGCGTTCCAATTAAATGTATCACACTTTTCTAAATATTTATTTGTTTTATTTGTAATTGACTTATGTATAGACACTGCATTTATTTTTTGTTAGATCGTTATCTTAATTTAGAAGATAAAAACATTAAAATGTTTCTGATAAACTTTAACAAAAGGTATTGTTTTGGAACAAAAATAAGACGAGGTGGCCGAGTGGTTAAGGCGTTGGACTGCTAATCCAATGGGCTCTGCCCGCGTGGGTTCGAATCCCATCCTCGTCGTTATTTTTTTTTTAATTACCTACTAATTATAATAAAAATGTTATGTATTATTTAAACAAATTAATAAATAACAAACGCAATGCAATATAAAATTGGGAAATAATAATATATAAAGAATATGTATTTATTGAACTCATATTAGGCTACGCCCATGGTTATTTGTGAATAGTCGTGTTGTACTTGAGCTCCTACACTATCAAAAAATTTCAACGTAAATTGGCCAAATCTAAAGTTGAAACATATACAGGGTGGACCGGATTTAATTTGCGTATACAGAGATCTCGTAAACCGTAAGATATACATTGTCGGTTAAATGGGGAAAAAGTTTCGTATTTTGACGGATAATACAATGGTCCATAGAAGTTCCAGATTTTCTGACTGGTTCCGGAGATATTCGATAAAATCCGAAAAACCTCATTTTCGTTTTTTAAGTCGTGCGTTATTATAAAAGATAAAAAAAAATTATACGAAGTTTTTATTATTAATCAAGTTCCCTATAATCTGCCATGTCAAAATTTTTATTACGACGTTTCGTATTTGCAGGGCCACCTTCAACTTATTTTTTTAAAGACGGACCTGGATTTTTAACTGTATATCTTACGGTTTACGAGATCTCTGTATATCCAAATTAAATCCGGTCCACCCTGTATACCTAATCGTGAATAGTTGAAATAAACTCAACAAAAACATTTTTTTGTGTCAAAAAAGCCAATTTGTCTGTAGAAAAATATAACAACTTCATCTTAAACGTTATTAAATTAAAAAAAAATGTGATACTTTTTTTCGGAACACCCTGTATTCGCTTACGCACGAATTCACGTACCCATCTCAAACGCAAGCAAAACTTTTTTTTATCGCTATCCCGGGATAGCCGGTGAATTATTATTTATGAGAAATAAAAAAGAAATCCTCTCTCCTTACTGTTATCCTTGCGAAGGAAAGTTAGATAAGTAGTCGAGAGACGTGGGCTCAGGCGGAGGATTTAAGATATATCCAAAAACCCCTTTGAATATTTTGTAAAGAGGGGATCAGAAAAGATCTTCTTAATTTTATTATCCAATTAAAGTCGGTTTAAAGAAAAATTACGCGAGAGCTTATGGGAGAATTAGAAATTTTATCCGAAACAAAATTAATACAAACTCTTATAATGGATGCCGTTTAAAAACTAATTAAAAAGGGTTATAAAACCATCTTTACTGTATATCAATCTCATATGGTAACTTGATAATTTTGAGTTATCTTAATGTACTAACTAGTTTCCAAAAAATTCGTAATACATATACTCCAAATATTCTCCAAAATGATGATTAATACAGGCAATTGCAAAAAGAATTGATAATATATTTTGAATAATTATAATATTATTTTGTTAATCGAAAAACTTTTTGAAAAGCAAAACAAATCAAAATACCTATTCTTAAATTTATGTTTTTTGACCTACCCCGTATAATATACAAAAATTTTAATATTTGTGAAATTTATATTACGTTATCGTTCACGCACCAATTTTTATCAAGAATAAAATTTTATAAGAAATTGAAAATAAAAAAAATTTTGTAGATTTTTAATTTTCTTAATTTATTTGTATACGGTTTAGATTTTTCAAAATGGAATGGATTTTTAAAACAAATAAAAATGTTGATTGTTTTTAAATTATACTTATTTTAAGCATGGGTGTTGTTTAAACAAAACTTAACTTAAAATAAAAAAGTTGTATTCTCAATTTAAGCACGGTGCTTTTTAATTTAAGAGCTCTATTCTTATTTTAAGCATGGATGTTGTTTAAAAAAAAACTGAAATTAAAATAAAGAAGTTTTATTCTAAATTTAAGCACGGTGCACGGTATTTTTTAATTTAAAAAACCTTTATACTCATTTTAAGCATGGACATTCTTTAAAAAAATCTTAAGAAAAAGAGAGTTATTGATACTTAAATTTATTCTCAATTCAACCACGGTGCATGGTATTTTTTAAGTTAAGAAACCCTTAAACTAATTTTAAGTATGGACGTTCTTAAAAAAATTCTTAAGAAAAAGAAAGTTATAGATACTTAAATTCAAAAAGTTTTATTCTCAATTTAAGCACGGTGCACGGTATTTTGTAATTTATGAAACCCTCATACTTATTTTAAGCATGGACGTTCTTAAAAAAATTCTTAAGAAAAATAGTTATAGATACTTAAAATCAAGAAGTTTTATTCTCAATTTAAGCACGGTGCACGGTATTTTTTTAATTTAAGAAACCTTTATACTTCAAATCAAGAAATTTTATTCTCAATTTAAGCACGGTGCACGGTATTGTTTAATTTAAGGAATCATCATACTTATTTAAAGCATGGACATTCTTAAGAAAAAGAGAGTTATAGATACTTAAAATCAAGAAATTTTATTCTCAATTTAAGCACGGTGCACGGTATTGTTTAATTTAAGAGACCCTCATACTTATTTTAAGCATGGACGTTTTAAAAAAAAAACACTTAAGAAAAAGAGTTATAGATACTTAAAATCAAGAAGGTTTATTCTCAATTTATGCACGGTGCACGGTATTTTTTAATTTAAGAAACCTTTATACTTAATTTAAGCATGGACTTTTTAAACACATTCTTGAGAAAAGGAGAGTTATAGATACTTAAAATCAAGAAGTTTTATTCTCAATTTAAGCACGGTGCATGGTATTTTTTTAATTTAAAAAACCTTTATACTTCAAATCAAGAAATTTTATTCTCAATTTAAGCACGGTGCACGGTATTGTTTAATTTAAGGAATCATCATACTTATTTTAAGCATGGACATTCTTAAACACATTCTTAAGAAAAAGAGTTATAGATACTTAAAATCAAGAAATTTTATTCTCAATTTAAGCACGGTGCACGGTATTGCTTAATTTAAGAGACCCTCATACTTATTTTAAGCATGGACGTTTTTAAAAAAACACTTAAGAAAAAGAGTTATAAATACTTAAAATCAAGAAGGTTTATTCTCAATTTATGCACGGTGCACGGTATTTTTTAATTTAAGAAACCTTTATACTTAATTTAAGCATGGACTTTTTAAACACATTCTTGAGAAAAAGAGAGTTATAGATACTTAAAATCAAGAAGTTTTATTCTCAATTTAAGCACGGTGCACGGTATTTTTTTAATTTAAGAAACCCTCATATTTATTTTAAGCATGGACGTTCGTAAAAAAATTCTTAAGAAAAAGAGAGTTATAAATACTTAAAATCAAGAAGTTTTATTCTAAATTTAAGCACGGTGTACGGTATTTTTTAATTTAAGAAACCTTTATACCCATTTTAAGCATGGATGTTCTTAAAAAAAATTCTTAAGAAAAAGAGAGTTATAGATACTTAAAATCAAGAAGTTTTATTTTCAATTTAAGCACGGTGCACAGTATTGTTTAATTCAAGTGACCCTCATACGTATTTTAAGCATGGACGTTCTTAAAAAAATTCTTATAAAAAGAGTTATAGATACTTAAAATCAAGAAGTTTATTCTCAATTTAAGCACGGTGCACGGTATTTTTTAATTTAAGAAACCCTCATACTTTTAATATTTTAGGCATGGACGTTCTTAAAAAAATTCTTAAGAAAAAGAGTGTTATAGATACTTAAAATCAAGAACTTTTATTCTCAATTTAAGTACGGGAGGGACTTGCTTAATTTAAGTAAGGTCATTCTTTAAAAAATTCTAACCAAAAGGAACTTAAAACAAGGTGCATTATTTATAAATTTAAAAACGTTTTATGCTTAATTATTGGACGTATATTACATGATTAAAGTTTAGAGAAACAATACTTAATTTCAACAACCTTCCGGTTTAATTTAAGAACGCATGCTAAAAAAATTCTTGATTTTAAAATTAACAACGTTCGTGCTTACTTATAGCTTTTAATTTAAAAATTAAACACGGCAATGTTAATTTTAGAATGCCAGGATTCAAATAAAAAATATTTTTACTTCAATTAAATCGTGCTGAATTTTTGATTACATACCTAGACACATTTGTCTGTGTGCGTTAAAACATCGGTTGCTTGTGTAGCTCTTACTTAGCTTTAGTTGTTGTCGTCATAAGGATCAATAGTGGTTTCAACACGTTTCCTTGAGGAACTCTAATTTAAACTTTTTTAATTTATAAAGCTGTTTTTTCGATAGATTTGCTTCAAATGCTTTTTATAATACAAATTCTAAACCTCGACACAAAAGTTAAACAAATTATGCAATTTTTACCATTTTTAGGACAAAAATATTATTACGTGTTACG